TTTTCTCCTGCTTCCACAGTCTGTCCCCCTACAATCTTTATTTTCTATTTGTATGACTCTCATTTCTCCATTTCATATCAATCCAGGGTATTATGAAGCATAGTTCAGGTTTTGGCTTTGTTGAATGGGAAAAAATGTTTTAACTTTCACTTTATTACAAATGACTAATAGATTTCTTTAAACAGAAAGTATTCCATCTCATGCACAGCAAGGTATATATATCTATATATTAGAACTTTTTTGTTTAGACAAGTAGTCCATGAAGAGTTACGAAAAGGAAAAATTAGAAATGACCCTCCTGTTCACTTTAGTGTTTTATGGCTCTGCATTGGAAGCTCCGAGTTAATCATTTACCGAGCTCTTACACTTCTGTTTATATTGTAATGTGATTTATTGACAGTGGCAATTCCTGCAAACCATAATCTGTAGCTTTCATTTGATTTATTAACCAAATTAATATTTAGATTTTTTTTTTTTTTTAATACCGGTATATTGAATTAATTGGTTATATTCTCCGTTCTTCCAGGAGCTCTAACCGAATGCTACGATGAATTGGGGAATCGATACCAGCTGCCAGTCTACTGCCTCTCTCCCCCCGTCAACATGATCGAGGAACGCTCCGATGAGCCCGACGGTTCAGATCCTGACTCCGGAACCACCGACCCGTCCTTGGGCAGCGCCGGTGAGCCTGGCACAGGAGGGGAATGCCAGCTTCGGCTTCGCCTCTCCACGGGTCGCGACCTCCGGCTGGCAGTCCGTTCCACGGACACAGTAGGCATAATGAAGCGGCGTCTACAAAGTCAGGAGGGCGTGCCTGCCGCAACGCAACGCTGGTTTTTCTCAGGGCGGCCCCTGACAGACAGACTGCGCTTGGACCAACTCAACATCTCAAGAGACTATGTAGTGCAGGTCATCCTCAGCCAGCGACCACCACCAGAGCCTGAAACTACACCAGAAACATCAGGGCCAGTGGCAGCAGAAGAAGTAGCCGCACTGCCACAAGAGCCCACGCCGGAGGAGGATTGATGCTCCCAAACTGGCAGCCTGGAACGGGGCATACCAGTGATGTGATAGTATAAAAGTTGGAGGATAACAAGGGACACAAAAGAAGCTGATTTCTCTTCTCTTCTCTTCTCTTTTCTCTTCTCAGACATTTTTTGCTGAGAACTTTGTTTGGGCTGATATTAGGCATCTGCTGGAGCATAAGGACTCTTGGATTGAGAAAAGACTAATCCTTTTGGTTTTTACACATTGAAATTTTGACCTTTTTTGAAGTCTTTTTAACTGTTCCTATGGAAACCAAACAGCAAAAAGAGAACTTTGTCAGATGGCTAAAATGGGTTTTCTTAGCAACACTGATATTTGAATGTTTCTGTGTTTCAGTTTCCATTCAAGTTCTGCTCTTTGGCAAAGCTGGTTCAACACAGAGAATTCTTCGTATAAGGCGACAGGGTTACGCGTGTACTTTCACAGCATATGTTTTCAATTTAGACATTTCAAAAAGACACTTAACAGTACTGAGAGTTATTCAGAAATTCTTCATTTAAATACATGATAGTAAATCAGTCAAGAATGCTTGCGTCAGGGGATAAAGTCGGTATACAAACAGCCATAAAGGAAGTTTGGTGTAGTTGGTTAGCAAGCAGATGTGTTCTCCCTCTTGAGGCACTCAGAGGACATGACTGGATGCTTTACCAAGCTGCTGCTGCTGGATCATATTCTTTATTTCACTCTGCTTCACTGAACAATCAGATTAATCATGTTATAAGTAGTCAGCCTGTGCGTGAGAGTGCGTGTGAATAAGTGTGTGTGCGTGTGCGGATGTTCATATATGATCAGGACACAACCACCACTCATTCATGTGGTGAAAAGGATGGACATCAGAAACACAGTTGCATATTTTGATTAAAGAATGTTTTTAATGAAAACTAGTCATTGTTTGTTTTCTTCGATCTCTCTTTCAGAATTTCATATTTCGATGAAGACTTGGGACATACTGGACTGATATGCCACAATACTTACACTTGCTACAACTCTGGGATTGCCTTTTAATAAGGTTTATGACTTGCTTAGTTTTTCCACTTCTTGCGTTTTAATTAAGGTGACTTCCTCACTCATTTTCTTTGCTTAATACATTACAAATATTACACGTCAAATGGTCTCACAATGTAATTGTTTGTAGATTGCATAGTATTGTGTAAATGGCCTGTATTTGTAAGGACCCCAAAGCGCTTTACACTACATTCAGTCACACACATTCACACACTGGTGATGGCAAGCTACATTGTAGTCACAGCCGCCCTGGGGCGCACTGACAGAGGCGAGGCTGCCAAACACTGGCACCACCGGGCCCTCTGACCACCACCAGTAGGCAACGGGTGAAGTGTCTTTCGCAAGGACACAACGACCGAGACTGTCAGAGCCGGGGCTCGAGCCAGCAACCTTCCAATTACAAGACGAACTGCCAACTCTTGAGCCACTATCACCCCTTGTGTATTCCCATGCACATAGCGTCATTTTAAAGTTACAAATAGGAAAAAATTATCTTGTATTTTGTGGCTAATATTGAAAGGAAAGGTTAAGGCTAAGGGCAAAAATTAACTTTCTTTTTACTTGGTAAAATGAGCTGTGTGACATCCTCAATACCATTTTAAGCCTGAGTACTGAATTTACACATCATCACCTCCTATAAGTGTAATATTTTGCATCAGTTTTAATTTGAACAAAACCCTCAGAATGGTTTTAAAATGTCAAAACAACAACATTTGGCTTGTCTAATTTGTTTGGGCCTTTGGACAGGTGCTGTAGCCATTTCCATTATAAATGTCAGGCTAAAATAATCGCCTCCTGGCTTCAGTCACAAGTCAAGTCAAGTTGGCTTTATTGTCACTTCAACCATATACAATTTAACAGTACACAGTGAGGCGAAACAACGTTCCTCCAGGAACCGAGGTGCTACATGCAACATAAATTTACAACATAAATTAACAAAAAACACTAAACTAGCTAACTAAGAGGCCTAGTTAGCTGGCTAGCAGAGACAAGAACTAAGAGGCCTAGTTAGCTGGCTAGCAGAGACAAGAGGTCTCCATAATAATGTAATATAAGCTCCCAGAGCATTGTTTTTGTGCTGATGTTAATGCCGCGGGTGTTTTTGGAATTTTGCAAATTCTAAATCATATCTACAAATATAACAGCAGAGCACTACTGACTCTTACACACACATGTGCCTCAGCAACATCCCCCACATGCTCTGTAATTTCACGTGGTCAACCACTTTGCGGCTAAGTTGCTGTGCTTCCTAAATGTTTCCACTTTGCAATAATACCAGCTGATTGAGGGAAGCAATTTCACAAAATGACTTGTTACAAAGGTGGCAGCCTGTCACAGCGCCACACTTGAATCCAGTTAGCTCATTAGAACAACTCATTTTTTCACGAATGTAAAGGCAGACTGCTTGGCTTGATGGTTTTATGCTCTGCGGGACTGATAACACCTAAATTTAAGAGGGACTGTTTCTGTCCTTTGTTGTGTGATTACAATTCAGTAATGTGTCTTATCAATCTTTAAAAAACTAAAATGTAGGATTCCCCAAAAGATCAAATTATAATTTCAGGATCTGACACTGATATATCCATGATAATCTAATCTGTTTTATCTGTCTAGTCTCTTTAACAGGAATAATACAGCACACTTAACAGCATAATACACACTAAGTTTTTCCTGTAGTCTCTTTTCTCTATAATTTCAACATCATTGTTTAAGCCCATTCATTTAGTCCTGGCAGAAACTGGAAGTTTTCTTGAAAAACCCAATTACGCAAGCATTGATTAATTGGATTTGTTTTTGAAAGAAGTGCTGCTAAGCGGCATTCCCACCTTGACAAAGACATACCTGCTATCATTCAGCTGGTATGAGGAAGGAATGCCAGCTGCCTCTCCACAATTCCTATAAAATACAAAGGAAGTTAAAGAGTTGATAAGCCACTTGTTTAATATTGAGAAAAGTCGCACCGTGCACACACACACACACACACAGGGAAGTGGATGTGGTGTAAGGTTAGTATGATATGACATTTTCAGTCCCCATAGAATACGAAATAGGATAGTGGTGGGGAAAAACCTTTTACTTAATTGAAGTGAAGGTCCAAGCAAGGAAATTGCATTTCCTTTCAAAACAGCATAAAACACACTCCCCTTGAGTCATCTGTTGCCTTTTTTTTTTTTAAATAAACAAAGGTTAATCAAAAGAAACCCCTATACCTATGTGTATTTATAGGAAAGGGTCTACGAGTTGTCATTACAGGTGCAACCACACAGGCATGCTTAAATGTTAGTGGTTATTTTGGAAAGAAAACGCTCTGCAGGTAACTTCCCAGATGTATACGTAAAAAAAAAAAAGAAAATGCAACAGTGATTTTTCCATTTGGTCATTGCGTTTACAAAACTCATTCAGATAATCCTGTTTTGTTTTTTTGTTTTGTTTATAATCTGGGTTTTCTCCTTTATTTCGTTCCTGATGATTGTGTTCTCTTGACGCATTCTGTGGAAGCGTCCTTTTTCTTGTTCTTCTTTAGAAGTCCCATGACGGCTTTCTAGATTACCTGCTCCACTTTCAGTGGCGTATAACCATATTTAAACATTTTAGGGGTTGCAGTTCTGTTTTACAGAAGTTTCTGTATCATTAGTTGGCCTTACTTCCCCCCCAAAGTGGTTAGTGTGATCACACAATCATCAGATTACAGCATGGATTTTGTACCGAATGAATTGTCGTCTTCAACACAGCTAAATTAATCAAGCTTAACAAAAGAGGAGAGCCGGGTGGAAAGCTAGTGGTAATCCATTTATTTTGATCATTCATTAAATTTCCTTTCATGTGCAGTGTGGTCCATTGTCATCGTCATCATTGGTCAGGTATTAAAGAGTTCCTCTTTTGAGTGGGGATTTCTCAGCCTGACGTATAAATGCAGCTGCAGCTGCTGCCTTTACACAGACAAACACTGCTTACTGCATCTGGTTCCAGTGTGAAATTTTGAATCAAGTTTTGCAGGGTAAGATCTATTATATTCCATCTGATTGTCACAGATATTCAGGAGGAGGAATAATCTGCTCACTTTGGGTTATGTAAAAATCAAAAATTTAGGTATCTTGAAGTATGTTTAAAACTTCTTATATAATTGAAAACACTTTGAAAATGCTGTTGTACTGGTTCCCAAATTTGAGTTCTCATCCTTTGAAGGGTCAAAAAGGTTTTAGGAGGAACTATCTGATTTTTTTTTATATACTATTTCATTTGATATCTTCTAAAAAAAATTTATTAGATTTATTTTTTTAATTTTTACTAAACTAACAGATAGTTAAACTAAGGATATTTTCTCTGTAATTTGATTTGATTTTAATTAGTTTTCCAAGTTCACAATTCTTTTGTTGTTATTTTATTTTAGTTATCACTGCTTTGATTTAAAGGGTTAATTTTGTACTTGAGTATTTCACTTTTTTCAAGGTTTAAAAAGAAATATTTTTATTTGTTTATGTAAAAGAGTCCCATCACTTCCTTTCTTTTGTTACAGATGCATACATTTTTGCTCATGGTTGTGTGGGCTATACTGAGTGGCGCCCGCTCTGACACCCAGCAAGCAGATGTCGAGACACTCATGGATAATGGTATCTCCTTGTCTTTGAATATTCCTCCATGTTTTCATTTTTGTTTTTATTTCACCAACAGTAAAATCAATTTTTTTGCTTTACCTAGTTGTGGTCCTGAGGGTGCCCTCTTTTACGGGTAGCATGATTCACGTTCCTTTGACCTGCGGAGAAGCTTTTCAGAATGAGCCTGTGTTTTGGAAGAAAAATGGTAACGCAGCTTTTAATTCAATTCATTTTACTTATGTAAAGAAAAAGTCAAAGTCACAAGAACTTTCTTTTGCTTGTTTGCTCTATAGCTCATCAAGCTTTTGTTTATCCAGACGTCAAACTTTCCCGTTTGTCTCTTTATGGCTTTTTATGACCACATTGTAACAATGAACATGTCCGTGTCTCAGGTCAGGAGCTCAATCCTCCTCTGCAGGGGAACCAAGTCCAGGTCCTGGTGGAGGAGATGAAAGGAGGGAACTACACTTGCCACCTCAGTCCAAGTGGAGAATACCTGAACCACACTATGATCTTAATCCAGCTTAATCCAGACAACAGGACAGTCATATTGGAAAACAGAGAAGGAGGTAAGTTGAAAAAAAAAGAAAGAAAGAAGGAAAGGAGCAAAGGCAAAGAAAGAAGTGAAACGAGTAGGGGAGGGAGAACAAAGAAGGCAAGCATGAAGGGAAAAGGGCAAAGAGCAGATTTTCTTTGACTGGATTTAGCCTCAGGCTTTCTCTGAAGAAGAAATGGTATTGATGGGACTGAACAGCTAAGATGATGGTCAGATAGGGATTTAGGATAAGAAAAAAAAAATAGGGAAAGGGTGTAAGGGTGGGGTTCCAGAGCAGAAAACAGAAACTGGATCAAAGGATCACCATTAGTAGTGTCAAAGGAATTTTAATAGAGAAGATGAGGGAAAAGAACAACACAGTGAGCAGGCTTTATATTAGGCCCATCATCACATTGTTAGTGCTCATGTTTCTCCATAAGGTTTCAGCTTTGTAAATCTCAAACATTAAGTTTCTGCAGTTTTGTGCTATGAGGCAATGTTTTCCTGTGATGGAACAAAACCTTAAAGTTGAAGAGGCAGCTACAAAGCTTTTTTTTCTCGTTTACAGCAATTATATCAATGCCCTGAGTGATTTATTTGTGTTTACTCGATGGGATCTAGAAGAACAATGAAACACTACAAGTGTAAGCTACACTGTTCATAAGAACATTAAACAAAAGAGAGGGAGGGGACTGACAGTAATTCTGTTGCTCCAGGTCACATCCACTGCTCGGCACCAAACTATACAGGATTCTTTCACTGCTCCTGGAAAAGAACAGCGCTCAGATCTGATGCCAGTGTGGTTTTGGTTAAGGCTGAACGGTAAGGACAAAGACAATGCATAGCATACTTTGGTTGGGTGCTGGTGTGGAGGAGGTGCTCTAGATAGTATTTTAACATCAACTTATATTTATATTCCAGTTTTACCGAAGATATCCCCTGTGAGCTGGATGCTGATGCATCAGGGGTTCGCTGCCAGGATGCCCACTGCCCATACAAAGAGGAGCAACATCGCATTTCCTTCACCGTTTACATACGCAGCCATGCTCGTTTGGAGACCTACACAAAGTCTTTCTACCTGAGAGAAATCGGTAAGTTTGTTTTTGTGTATTTTAGCATATGAAAAGTAACTTTCTTAGTCATCGTGCCGTGATTTCCTCTCTCCATTCTCTTTCTTTTTTAACCTTTGCCCACCTCATTTCTCTCCCTCCCAACTCAATAAAGTGAGACCGTCAAAACTCCCTAACCTGCACATCAGTGATGGGAAGGTGTTCAGCTGGGACTACCCTGATACTTGGGAGAAACCCTGCAGCTTCTTTGGCCTACAGTTTGAGGTCAAGCTGGTGCACAGTGGACATCCCTGCAACAGTGACAATCAAATAATTGTAATTAATACACGTACATCTATACACCAGATTCATATCTCTTTGCTGATGTCCAGTTTAGTCGAGGTTTCTTTGTCTTTATTAAGTCGCCTCTTCTTTGTGCAGAATATCACCACTGATACAACCAAATATGAGGTTGGCGTTAAGACCAAGAAGTATGTTTTCTGTGTGCGAGCTCAGGACAAGTTCACCAGAGGGCCGTGGAGCCACTGGAGTCAGTGCACGTAAGTGTATTGATTTTTATTTATTTATTTTTTGCTAATTCTGTTCCTGTGCAAGGATTCACACTATTTACAAATCATTGTATACTGACTGATCCAATCTGTACTGTTTTGTTCTTTTTACCAACAGAGTGAACAAACATAACGTGGCATGCTAAGCGTTAGCCGCTGGACTCTGCTGCCGCACCAGAAAGAGGAAAACAGTTTTTAAAAATATTGTAATTCAGAAGGAAAAAAAAATGGTCTAATACATTTTTTCAAGTGATGCACAACATATGAAGCTGTGCTTCAGGAGTGAATGTATACCTGTACAGTATTTATTCATCCCTCTTCATCCCCATTCGTTATGTCTGTGGAACTACAGAACAATGTTACAATAATGATTTGTACTGTGATTGAAATGAATTAGTATTTCCTTCATGCCCTTTTTAACTTATTTATATCTGTTCAGAATGTTTCTCAACATTTTATAATAAATTAATGAACATGTCAGTTTATTGTATTTTCTTTCATTTTATAACAGGGCATCTCAAAATGTATTTGAATCCCATGGGTTATCTATAGTAATGACGAGTTTATTTTGAGTGCAGAACATACAAAAGATGAAAAATGCACTGACAAACTAGAAAAAACACAAAATCATAAAACTAAAGTACTTGTACATATTTGCATATTTTATATTCTGATATTGTGCGAGTTGCATGTGTATTCACTCATCATGTGGCTACGCGAGACAAAAATAGGTAATAACAATGACAACAGTAGGAAAATAATAGTCAGTAATAATACTGAAAAAATATTTATGACATTAGGGGGCGATCATGGCTGTGGGGCGATCGTGGCTCAAGAGTTGGGAGTTCGCCTTGTAATCGGAAGGTTGCCGCTTCGAGCCCCGGCTTGGACAGTCTCGGTCGTTGTGTCCTTGGGCAAGACACTTCACCCGTTACCTACTGGTGGTGGTCAGAGGGCCCGGTGGCGCCAGTGTCCTGCAGCCTCGCCTCTGTCAGTGCGCCCAGGGTGGCTGTGGCTACAATGTAGCTTGCCATCACCAGTGTGTGAATGTGTGTGTGAATGGGTGGATGACTGGATGTGTAAAGCGCTTTGGGGTCCTTATGGACTAGTAAAGCGCTATATAAATACAGGCCATTTACTATTTAAATGAAGGGGAGGCACTAGAAACCATGGTGTTTTGGGAGGTGCCATTATTGGCCAGGTCGTTAGTGTCTACGTTCTTTATTCAATGAATTATCTTTTATCTTTTATGGTGTTCGTGGTGTACAAGTTATGAACAGGAAGTAATGAAATGTTTCTAACTGTAAAAGATTAACTCGTTTTTAACTACCTCAGGAATGTAGAACAGTACAAGCAAGCGAGGTACAAAAAAAGGTTTATTTTCCTATTTACAGCCACAATTTTGTCGATGAAATGAAGAAAACACACAAAAAAGGCAGAGCTCAAGAAATGAAAAGAAACTGAATTTCCAGGGACTGCTTGACATATCATATAGCTTATGTTTCCAGAGCTTCAGCTTCATAAAATGAGGCCCACCTTAATAAGTAGTGAAATGTGTAAAAACCCACTTTAGTTACAAAAGAGAAAAAAACAAAACACACAATTAAAAAAATGTGCTATCCAGTTCTTGTATTCTCATCACCTTTAGTTGGTTCATTGACATTTGGATGTTCCAGAAACATTTCAATGAAGAGCTGTCACGATCTCACGAGCATCAACGAAATAAAACCTATGCTTTATGTCCGTTCGAGTGTTGCGTCCTGTGACGTAACAGAATCAGCATGCACAGAAAAACATGAATACGTTTCTGGACATGTATGCACATGAATATCCAGCCATGGAAGCCTGACTGTAATATGCATGTACAGAATGTAAATAACAAAAAACAGGCCTGTTTGTAGTGACCACCTACAGACACGTAACAAATGGTGTCACACTTGTTCACTAAAGCCACTGTTTTGATGAAATATTTTAGCTAGCCAGTTCTAAGACCAACAGATTTTGGTCTCTCAGTAGTTTTTAGAATTGCTGCATACGTCTGCATGTGCAGGCTGCTGTTATTTGTTTGACGCTCACAAAACTTCCAGACGTTCCAACTTTTCACTTCATTTATTACAAATCAAACAGACAATCCAAATACTACATAAAAAAAACACGTTAAATTACCAGGATATCCTCGCATACTGAAAACACTTTCAATGGTTATGTAACTTCATTTTGCTTATTTGTTTCTTTTCGCTCTTTAGCTTTTTGCGGTCAGTCTCTTTGAAGGCAGGCTACTGACCTTAACTATAATGAAATTAGATTTGTATCTTCTCCTACTCACTTGGTACAGCAGAGAGGCTTGATAGAGTATTTTTTTACTGGTAATCAACTTAACACATCTGCTACTATTCACCCATCTAAAATACCAAGCAGGCGTAAAAGATCTCGAATACTTTCAGGAAATAGTGGACCTCAGTTATCTATATTAAACCCTTGTTGACCACCATGAGTAAACAGGTGAGCTGGAGTCTGTGACATTAAATCAGTGTGGTCTCAAACAGGATTTTTTTTCCCACAATGCACCTTGCACACTGATAGTAACTGTAAACAATATTTGAACAAACAAATGTTCCAGACTAAGAGAAGGCAGAGAACATGCAGATATATAAACTGGGAAGCCCGTCTCAGTCCTGAGGTTTTGACCTTGTGTGTAATTGTCGGGTTAATGTTGGACTTTTAGTGAGGTTTGGTATGAAGGACTTTATGTTTGTTCTTGTGTTTGACAAGCGGATGATGCATTGGTTGCATCCACTCCAAGTCTTTGCGCTGATAATATAGTCCCTCCTCAGTGGTGCTGCCTCTTAGATAGGTACCTGCAGAAACAAACAGGCACACATTCAGCGCATATTTTAAACACATTCAGTTGAGTTCATGTTGATTTGGGGAAATGTACAAATGACACTGGGACACAACATTAAAAATGAGTAACTACATAATGGAAGAACATTTAAAGCCTTTACCATGTACTAGAGATGGACTGATCCGATATTACGTATTGGTATCGGTCCGATACTGACCTAAATTACTGGATCGGATATCGGAGAAAAATAAAAAATGTAATCCGATCCGAAGTATCACAAAATCACCTCACAAAACGTGCTACTTGGCGTAACTCAGCTCGGCGCATCGGAGCAGTATCTGTCACGTGATAGAGCGGCTGTTGTCTGCGAGACCTGTTGGCGGTCTGTTGGAGCATTTGGAGCCTTGCTACATGCTTCCTAACCGTGGCATTTCATCTCAGCGAAAACTATCCCACAGAAGCAAAGCAAGTGTGTAAGTTCATCCCTGAATGTTTGCATAGTATTTCCACGTTACGCTTAACAACTGATGTATTGAGCCACAGCTGGACTGGCCATCGGAGTTCCATATTGAGGTGAAAAGGAAGCGATTTGTCCCGTACTTCAGCTAGAATTCAAAAATAGACACAAAGCTGGAGTTATTCTGTCTTTGCTGCACAGTTGCATCTACTTCTCTCATTCACTTCCCCTTCCTCTCCTGTTATTACTTCAAACATGAAACTGATCAATGATCAGCTGATCGGCTTTTCTGCCGCAAGTCCTGTCTTTCTTGTTTGTTTATCGCCCCACTTTGCGCTACAAAGAGGAGACCAGTGGATAAACAACAGCAGCACGTTTAAGCGTGATAAGCTGTTGTTAGAATGTATTTAATATTAACTTTGTAGTATCAGCTGATGTTTGCTGGAGCCACAGCTGTAAAAGCTGCTGGTCATGATATCCGTTTGGATATGTGGTGAGAGGGAAACATGAAGATGAAACCAGGAGATGTCCTTACTGAATCATCAGAGCTGAACAGGTGATGGAAAAACAGGTTTACCTTTTAGGTGACATGAATGAGTTGAAGGGAAGTTATGAACTGTTTCTGAGAGACAAATAACACCAGGATCCTTTTCTAGGTAGCTGACGGCTGGTAACTGTGCAGGGGCGGGTCTAGCAAAGTTTTGTCGGGGGCCAGGTTGGGCATTAACAGGGAAAGGGGGCCACAAAGAAATACTTTTCTTTGTTATGTCCTTTAAAAACTTTGAATAAATAATTATCTGAATCTTACAACAAAAGTGGTCATCTGATTAAATGTATAGAAATCCATTATTGTATATAGTAACTAATAAGTCTAATATACACCCTAATAAGCTATAGTACTTTTTCCTTTGGGAAGGTACCATCTGTGCAGTCTGCAATTCTGTTGAAGAAAGATGTTGAATCTATTTAAATATTGTAGAAAAATAATTGATTTCTGTGCATTTGTTTTACACTTGCATTAAATTAAAGTTGATTACATCAATTAAGGGCGGGGGGCGGTTCCTGAATATTTTTGCTGGGAGTTGGCAACCCTATTAGTTAGGTTGCTTAATATTCCCACTAAGTTGACCACAACATATTACTCAAACGACTGGAGAACTGGGCAGGTCTTTCAGGAACTGTACTAAACTGGTTCAAAACATACTTAGAAAACAGGAAATACTTTGTATCAATAGGTAACTTCACATCTGAGCAGACAAGTATCACATGTGGAGTTCTCCAAGGTTCCATCTTGGGACCCCTTCTGTTTAACATTTACATGCTCCCACTGGCACAGATTATAAAGAACAACAAAATAAACTATCATAGCTATGCAGATGACACACAAATATATATCACAATGTTACCAGGAGACCGAGGCCCTGTACAGGCTCTTGGTAAATGCATTGAGGAAATTAATGACTGGGTTGTGCCACAATTTTCTCCAGCTAAACAAAAACAACTGAAGTAATAGTCTTTGGTGCCAAAGAAAAACAATTACAGGTCACCAGAGAACTTCAATCTATACACCTAAAAACCACAAACCAGGCGAGAAATTTGGGTGTAGTGATGGATGCAGACCTAAACTTAGAAAAACACATTAAGACAATAACAAAATCAGCTTACTATCACCTCAAGAATATTTCAAGGATAAAAGATCTGATGTCTCAACAGGACCTGGAAAAACTAGTCCATGCATTCCTCTTTAGTAGGCTGGATTACTGTAACAGCATCTTTACAGGTCTACCTAAAAAAATCAGTCAGACAACTACAGCTCATTCAGAACTCTGCTGCTCGAGTCCTCACTAAGACCAAAAAGTGGACCACATCAGTCCAGCTCTGAGGTCCTTACACTGGCTGCCTGTCCGTCAGAGGATAGACTTTAAAGTTCTGATGCTGGTCTATAAAGCTCTGAATGGTTTAGGACCAAAATACATCAGTGACCTCCTGACCCAGTATGAACCTTCCAGATCCCTCAGGTCATCTGGATCCGGTTTTTTATCAGTTCCCAGAGTCAGAACCAGACGCGGACAAGCTGCATTCAGCTTTTATGCTCCTTATATCTGGAACAAACTCCCAGAAAGCCTCAGATCAGCTGAAACACTCAGTTTATTTAAATCCAGGTTGAAGACTCACTTA